GAGATATATCTGGGCTTCCCAGCAACTGAACTGCAACAGAAGTGCCCTTAAAAGACCCTCTTTACCCTGAACCTCTGACCTGGGGATAAGTACCTGCCCTGTCCCATATCTCTGAAATGGGGACTACAAGAGCAGTCACAAGGAGCACAGATGGCCAAGTTAAACTCTTGGGGATTCTGAGCAAAGGGTACAGTGTCCTGCCGTGAGATTTGCACAAGTGCTCCCAGATGTTCTATTAAAGATAGAACAACCACAGGAAAACCCAAGCAACGGCCAAACAAACAGAAATCTCAGGTGGGGTCGCAGTGGCACACAAGTCCCAGAGGCACACAAGTCCCAGTGCAGAGAGGCTGTGGGCAGGTTGGAGCCAGGGCAGCACTGCCATTCGCATGAGCTGGGTGTCTGACAACCTCCCAGGAATTTGGGTTCCAAGAGCAACACAATGAACCAGCTCCTCCTTGACCTTAGAGCCATCCCACAGCTGTCTGCAAGCACTGCATCTCGGAAACCTTCCCATCTCAGAGCCCTTTCCCGGCAGCCAGGGGCATTTGTGCTCCTGACAAGGGCTGATGGCAGCTGTGAAGGCTGTGAGGAGCCAGAGCTCCAAGCCAGGGAAGGGATGGGAAAAGCAGAGATGGCTGGAGGTTCCTGGACATTTCCCATTGCTAGGTTTTCACTGAATGGCCTGAAGACAAAGCAAATATCTACCTATCTTTACCCATATCTATATCTATATCTATATCTATATCTACATCTATATCTATATCTATATCTATATCTATATCTATATCTGTATCTGTATCTATAGCTATCTATATCTATCTATATATCTATCTATATCTATCATATTTATCTACATCTATAACTATATCAATATCTAGCTACAGCTATAGCTATATTTATATATATTTATATATATTTATATATATTTATATATTTATATATTTATATCTATCTATATATCTATATATCTGTCTATATCTATCTATATATTACAGATATATAGATAGATATAAATAGATATAATATCTATTATATCTCTATATATAATAATATATATTATAATATTTATTATATCTATCTATCTATCTATCTATCTATCTATCTATCTATCTATCTATCTATCTAATATATGTATATAATCCATATCTATCTGTTACATATCACAGAATATTCTGAGTCTCAGTTTCTCAATGCCCCATGCCTGGGAAGGGCAGGGCAGCACGGATGCTCCACGGGGGCTGCTGCATCCTCTGACCCCAAATGGATGCTCCAGACCGTGCAGGCTTTGGCAGCAGCCAGAGGAGGGAAAGCTATGCAAAACATGCCCCAGGGAGCTGCCAGGCATCCCGGATTACCTTCTTTGGAGTGCTTTTGGAGGTTACATGAAGGCAAAGCCAGCTCTCTGCAGGAGTTTGTGGCTGCCCCAGCTTCCTGCTCAGTCCCGGGGCTTTCCTGGCAGCAAAACCGCCCCATCCAAAGCACCCCGAGCCCGGCAGGCCGGCAGGAGAAGCAGAGCACAATTAGAGATGTGGCTGTGCCTCTCTGCAGACGGTGGGCATGGGAATTAATCCTCCCATTAACGGGTGAAATGGAGCGTTTGCGTCTCACAAAGCAATTACACAAGAATAGCAGGAGAGCGATGATAGAAATCACATCTTCTCTGAAGTTGCTCTCCAATCCAACACATGAATAATTCCTCCTAGGCATTACTGGGAAAGCAGTATTAAAACACCCATATAAACAAGAATTACTGGAAAAAAACAGACGAGGCATGCTTCATCGCTCTGTCAGAGCCAAGCACAACTAAATTTATACAAAGTGGGCAGAGAAGCTTGAAGGGGCAAAGACATTTGTTAGTGCTCTGTGTGAGATGAGCTCACAAGGAACGCGTGCTTGATCTTGGCAGCTTTTTGATGTCTTACTCCTAAAGCATCAGCTTTAGTCTCGGTTTCCATGGCAGATACTTTTCTGAGCTTGTATCTTCCCCAGATATTGCTAATTTATGCTGTCAGCCACATCTCTGCAAATACCTGCAGAGTGATTCCATGTGCAGTGGGAGTGGTGAAAACAAAGCGCACGTGAACCTGCCTCAGCTCTTGTGTTTTAACCAGAGGACAAAAAAAGGATTTGTTTTCTTCAGCCCACAACATCTTGGCTGATCTCCTGGCACTGAATTTTACCCCAGGTACCCTGACACTGCGTTATCTGTCCTGTCCTTTGAGCATTTAATCCAGGCACATGTTTTGGGCAGATTTACCCCTTTCTGAGCAGGAAGGGTTGGGCAGCACATGTGGCCCTGCTTCTTTCTGCTCCCCCATCACATTTCATGCTAGCCCAGCCTACAAACCATGAGATCTTTTCCAGGCAGCCACACCAAAACTGTTCTATTTTCAGGGTGGATTTATCAGCCCTGCAAATGTTGAACAAGCAGCTGACGAATTGGCCTCACCAATTCATGGCAAGGTGAGAGGCTGCACGTCTGGCTGGTGGGAGAAGAATCCCAGGGACTTGCAAAGCTGTTGTTTACACACTGAAGCACAGAACATCCAGCACAATACAAAAGGAATTGTGAAAAACTTGTAAAAAGTAACTCACACAGTGACAGAACCACAGGAAGCAATGGCACGTGCAGAGAGAGCTCATGCCAGAGCAAAGTCCTGGCAGCACTGAGGAAACCCATGTCCTGGCAGGAAATGGGCACGCAGGGTTCAGGGCTGTTTCAGGCTGTGCCCAGCAGCACCAAGTCCCAAGTTCCAGGTAGGAAAGTGGCCAGACACTGAAATGAGGCCACTCCTTGTCCTAAGGAAAGAAGCCTGGCAAGTTCTGGCCAGCTGGAATTGATCTGAGCCTGGCTGGAGCTGGGTTTGCCAGTCATTCTAGGGCTCAGGAGCAACCTGCCCTATGTATCTATATATCTATATATCTATATATCTATATATCTATATATCTATATATCTATATATCTATATATCTATATATCTATATATATATCTATATATCTATATAACTATATATCAATATATCTATATATATATCTATACATCTATATATCTATACATCTATTTATCTATATTTATGTATCTATATATCTATACATCATCTATACATCTATACATCTACACATATCTGTATCTATATATCTATACATCATCTATACATCTATACATCTATACATCTACACATCTACACATATCTATATCTATATATCTATATATCTATATATCTATATATCTATATATCTATATATCTATATATCTATATATCTATATATCTATATCATCCATATCTATCTGTTACATCTCTCAGGTATCACAGGATATTCTGAGTCTCAGTTTCTAAATGCCCCATGCCAATTCACCTGGTGACCAGCAAGTCACAGGTAATCCCCTTCTCCATTCTGAGCCAGCACAAATATCTACACAAAACCTTCAGGTATGCTCAGCTCCTCACTGCTCCTGCTGAGTGCCAGAGAGGCACAGACATATCCCCTGTGTGTGGCTCAGACACATCCCTTCCCTCCATCCAAAGGAGCTGAGGTTTTAAAGGGAATGTGGAATAAAAAGCAGCTGGGTGATGTTTCCTTGGATCTGTTTTCAGTGTGGTCAGAGGTAATTTCCACAGCTCTCTGGTAAAACAGGGAAACCCCTGGTCTGAGTGGGATGGGGGCAGAGGCTGTTCCTGGAGCCTTTCAGCCAGGATGAGTAACAGGGTCAGTAGCCACAGCAAACAAACCTCTAGTTTACCAAACAGAGCCTCTGCAGCATCCGGCTGCTTTAAAACATTAACCAAAATACACTTATCTCTGGCTCCTGGCCTTAAGCGACTTTTGAACCCTCAGCTATTCTGGGCCAGGCTGGATTGTGCTCAATCCAGGTGTGTGAGGCCAGCAGGAGCCCTGGTGGGCAGAGCAGGCCCTTGCTGGCAGCTGTGCCCTGCCCACAGTGCCCCTCGAGTGAGAAGGGACCCAAAGGGACATTGAGTGCAGCTCCCTGCTCCTCACAGGAGCCAAAACTGACCTGTATGACTAAGGGAGAGTCCTCCCAGCCCAAGGGCTTGTCATTGACCAAGGGTGGTATGGAAAGCCTTGTGGAGCAGAGGTGAGTTTTCTTTCCAGCAATAATGAGCATGAAATTTAAGCAAAAGGACACTGGAGGCAGGAGCAGGGCAGCAAACTGAGATTTCTTGTTCCCCCCGAGGCCATTGCCATGTGCAGCTGAGGGCGTAACAACCAGGGAAGTCGTCTCAGAGGATTTTATGGATCATCTGCCTTTGGGACAACACTGTCAGTCAGAAACTGCAGCTCTGTGTGCACTAAAGATGAGTTGGATCTGCTGCGAGGCAGCAGAAAGGAACCCATGCCCAGACAGGAGCAGGTTTGCAGTGCTGGCAGTGGAGACAGAGCCAAGTTCTTGGCTGTTTACACAGGCTGCAGCCTCTTGCTAGCACTGCAGCACTTCTCACCTGGAGTTTTACTCATTTCTGATTTGATCCATTGTGCACACAGTGCTTTTCACATGCAGCAAGGGCAGCACTGGAGTTTAGTCTGTGCTGGCTCAGTCCCACAGCCTGTTCTGTGATGGGTCAAAAAACCCCAACATTTCCAAAAGAAGAACATTTCCAGAAGCCTGTTCTGTAGTGGGTCAAAACCCCCCAAAACTTCCAGAAGAAGATTTCCTAAAGCCTGTTCTGTGATGGACCAAAACCCCCAATATTTCCAGAAGACTTCCAGAAGCCTGTTCTGTGATGGGTCAAGAACTCCCAACACTTCCAGAAGAAGGAGAACATTTCCAGAAGTCTATTCTGTGGTGGGTCAAAAACCCCCAACATTTCCAGAAGAAGAAGAAGATTTCCAGCAGCAGAGAGGACTTTTCATCTCGTCCGACAGCAAAGTTGGCAACTTAAATGTTAAACTTTGCCTGCGACTGTTGGGTGTTGACATCATCGTGATCTCAGCGCTGTAACCGGAGCCCTCCGGCTTTTCCTCCAGCCTGCCTTTAAATACCACTCCTGCAGGCAGCAGAGCTCAGGACAGAGCCGGCAGAGCTTCCATGAGAGCAAAGACGAGCTCCAGCACCGCAGCCATGTCCACGTCCCTGCGGGTGAGCCCCTCGCTCCACGGGTACCGCTTCGACACCGCGCTGCGCAAGAAAGCCGCGGCCAACATCTTCGAGAGCATCAACGAGGCGTCCCTGCAGAAACTCTTCAGAAACTCCGGCGACAAGAAGGCGGAGGAGAGAGCCAAGATAATCCTCGCCACCGACCAGGACATGGAGGAGAAAACCAGGGCGCTGATGGCGCTAAAGCAGAGGAGGAAAGACAAGCTGCTGCAGTTCCTGACGTTTCGGAAATACTCCATCAAAGTTCACTGAGCTGGCTGGCGGAGGGAGCAGGAATGGAGAACTTTGTGACGGGACTGTTTGAGAGCTCCTAGCATGCTCGGCTGCCCCGTGGGCCTGGGGAGCTGACAGTCCATGCAGGGGCTTCAGCTCCACTGCAAACCATGAGCCAGCAGCGGCATCACTGCGGGCAGCAGGACCAGTGCCCATGGCACACTGGTGTGACCAGCAGGACCAGTGCCCATGGCACATTGGTGTGGACAGCAGCATCAGTGCCCACAGCAGCACTGGTGTGACCAGCAGGACTGGGGTGGTCAGCAGGACCAGTGCCCATGGCACACTGGCGGGTCCAGCAACCTAATCAGTGCCCACAGCAGCATCAGTGCCCATGGCACATTGATGTGGCCAGCAGCCTGATCAGTGCCCATGGCACATTGGCATGGACAGCAGCATCAGTGCCCATGGCACATTGATGTGGCCAGCAGCCTGATCGGTGCCCATGGCACATTGGTATGGACAGCAGCATCAGTGCCCACAGCAGCACTGGTGTGACCAGCAGGACCAGTGCCCATGGCACATCATTGTGGCCAGCAGCTGTGGTGTGACCAGCAGCATCTGTGCCCACAGCATCTCTGGTGTGGCCAGCAGGACCAGTGCCCACAGCACATCACTGTGGCCAGCAGCCTGGTGGCCAGAGGCTCTCAGAGAGAGAGAGAGAGAGAGAGCAGCTCCCAGCTGGGGCAGATTTGCTCCTCTGGGCAGCCATGGGACTGAGCTGGGGGAAGCCCCACCACCCTGATGGACTTGGTGCTCACAGACTTGCTTTGCCTCTTCAGCCTGAGCCCTGCTTATGTGGTGGTGGGGGGCTCTGGAGACCTCCCAGCTGCTGGTCAGGGTCAGAATCTGTGAAATGCCCCCAAGGCAGCGTGGTGCAGTGAGTTCAGCCGTCCGGGAATGCATTAACTCTGCACAGCTGTGCATTTCCTTGTGCGCAGGAAAAGTCGTTTGCACAGAAGCAATAATAATGACAGATTTCCCTGAATTTACTGTGAAGTTCCTTAATATTATGTTCACTTACCACTAACACTAAAAATCTAAATATAATAACTACAGTTCTTCTCTGTGTAGGTGACAGCCACTATTAGATGAGTACTTACTTCATGGCAATATTTTATGACAATGTTAATATTATATTGGCTATAATTTATTGCATACAGCGATGTGAAAACTAATAAATTATGAAGTAAATCTAAATTACCTTGTCTGAAATGCTCAGTTCTCCTGGAGTGGTGGGGTTAGACTTTTTTTTTGTCATTTCATAGAGGCCTGGTTTAGGAGCAGACTACCTGCAGCTCTCCCCCATTCCCCAGATATGGCTTTGGCAGCCCATCCTCAGGATGTGGAGCAGCCCCTGGCTCCCCCATCCCACCTGCCAGCACCAGCTTGGCCCACAATTGCCATGGCAACCGTGTCATTTCCCCACCAAATTTATTTCTAATCAACTCCAGTGTCAGTTTCCCCTCTGTAATAAAGCAGAATAACATCTTCTGCATTGTGGAAAGGTGTAGAAAATGATGGCTCAGGAGCACAGCTCATCAGCCTTTGGCATTTCTGCAGAGCAGAGAAAACCTGGGCTTGGCTCCTCATCACCCAAAGAACCAGCAATAAGTTACAAAGCTTTGGCAGCAGAACTGGACTGTTTTTCTGCAGGTTGTGCTGTACTATCATGATAGACGATGCTGAAAGTACTTAAAAATAGCAAAGACTGGTTATTTATAAGTCTGTCCTCTAATAACCTGATGGTTTAGATAAAAACATTCCCATGACTCTGCTTAGAGCAACAAAGATAAAGCAGCTTGGAGGAGCAATAGCCCAGCTACAGGGGTTTTTTTTATGCCTACAGTAACAACTCCAAATTGCCAATAAGTCAGTGAGACTGGAAATAATCTTTTAAGTCACCTAATAGAACAGGCAATTATAATTATTTGTAACTGGAGTGGGATGCATGGTGATTTCTCCTCACAGGAAGACCGGTGCTGCATTTGCCAGAGCCTTGTCACTCTTTGTGTCCCCAAAATCAAACCCAGCCATGGTCAATGCTGGATTTGACAGAGCCTTTTCACTCTCTGGGCCCCAAAATCAAACTAAACCAGGCCAATGCTGGATTTGGCAGAGCCTTGAAACTCTCTGGACCCCCAAAACCAAACCCAGCCAGGGCCAATGCTGGATTTGGGAGAACCTTGAGACTCTCTAGGCCCCTAAAACCAAACCCAGCCAATGCTGGATTTATCAAAGCCTTGTCACCCTCTGGACCCCCAAAACCAAACCCAGCCTGGGCCAGTGTTGGATTTGGGAGAGCCTTGAGACTCTTTAGGCCCCCAAAACCAAACCCAGCCAATGTTGGATTTGGCAGAGCCTCGTCACCCTCTAGGCCCCCAGAACCAAACCCAGCCAATTCTGGATTTGGGAGAGCCTTGTCACTCTCTGGGCCCCAAAATCAAACTAAACCAGGCCAATGCTGGATTTGGCAGAGCCTTGTCACCCTCTGGACCCCCAAAACCAAACCCAGCCAGGTCCAATGGTGGATTTGGAAGAACATTGTCACCCTTTGTGTCCCAAAACCAAACGCAGCTCCCCTTTGCTACCAATGACCTGGGCAGCATTTGCCACCAGCCTTTCCTTGAAAGAAGGAGGCAAATCTGGCAGAAGCCAAGCTTGTGGCAGAGTGAAATCCACACCCTCTGAACTGGTTGCTGCTGGCACGTCCTGGGGTTGCCCAGACAGTCCTGTTCACAAGATTTGCATAACATGATTCATAACATCCACTGACTTGGGGATTTTATAGTCCCTCTTGTCTCATTACGCTGAAATCATTAGCCTGAGTGGTATCCCTGATAAATAAAGGCCACTTACTAAGAAGTTATGTGTTTATTGGATATTTACAGCGAAAAAAGGCACTTTTCCTTGCTTGTAGCCTGTCTGCTGCTTTGGCAGGTTTGTGCTCCAGGAATGTGCCTTACTCAAAAGGCTCAACAAAACCTGCAATGAATTCTCACAGAACATGAGCCAAAAGCAGTTTGAGGTACAAATATCCAACCATCCCAGGGCCCTTGCCCACACTGCAAGAATTAGCAGTTCTTGCTGGTTTAACGTCCCCTGGGCAGGGGGATTCTAACTTCATTTTTAGAATCACAGCCTAATGTTTTGGTTGAAAGTATATTGCACATGGGGATACCAGAGATTAATTGGGGTTTGAGAGGTGTGGGAGTCTCAGAATCTCTGCTGCTCACTATGACCCTGAGATGTGTTAGAAAATCTCTTTTCCCACCCCAGCAGTTGAAGAAGGAGTCAGAACTCTTTTATTCTCATTCTCAGGGTTGTTTATTGTTTCTTATCTATAAAATTCTTTCTCTGGCCTGCTGAGGTCTGTTCAGCAGGTCAGACAGAGGCACTCTGACACCCTCAGGGTGGAGTTATCTTTTTATACTAAAAACTACGTGTACATTATTTACAATTACTTCCCAATACCTATCACCTATGATAGAGAGTGAGCCTCTCTAAGCAAATTTAAAAATGCCAACATCACCCAGAAGATGGAGGCCAAGAAGAAGAGGGAAAAAGGACAGGGCACGCCCAAATTCCACCATCTTTGGACCTCAAACCCCATTCTAAAAACCCCAAAAATCAATTTTTCACCCCATGATAAATAAACTATCATTCTACTTAAATTTTCAAGGCTTGTAAATCCTCAAGCAGTTCACATTTAAAGCATTCTCAATCCAGTAAATGTATGGAAGAAACCATTTCAATGTTAACTACTCAGTTAATTAATTAACTGAGTAATTAATTAATGTTAATTCTTGCAGTTTGATTAAAATAAATAAATTGAGAATAGATGTCTCCAAATATGTTGGGAGATTCCTTAATTGTTTGGTGAACTCCTGCATGCACAGTACAATGTATACTATATATTATAGCCTATATAATATATATATTATAGTGTATATATATAGTATATATAGTATATATACTATATATTATAGCTTATATAGTATATATATTATATATATTGTATTGTATATATATTGTATATATAGTATATATACTATATATACTATATATTATATCTTATTATAGCTATACTATTGTTATAGTATATATAACAATATGTACTATAATATAGCCAATTACAAACAACTAGACAGCTGAAGAGCACTAGTTTTTGAATTCTAGTTTAAATACAGAAGGGAAAGAAGCACGAGACTTTTTTGAGTGTGGATTGGTCTAGTGGTATGTTAAGTTTCAACTTTTTTCTTGTAAAAATACATTTTGACAAGCTGAAACAGCCTTTCAGAGGCAGCCAGAGGGATGTCCTGGGTTCTGGGAGGATGGCAGAGATTAGTTTGGGTTTGGGAGGAGTGGGAGGGCAGGTCAGGGCGGTGCTGTCACTCTCACTGTCACTGTCACCAGCCCTTCCTGAGCTCCCGGCGCCTGCAGGGCCAGGGGCAGAGCCCATTGTCAGCCTCCAGCACAACAAACAGAGGAAAAGGCTGTTCGAGGAATTTCCTCCCTGCAGGAGCCGGGCGTTTCCATTAATTCTTCTCCATGAGTCAGGCTGGCTGTACTGGGTGTCCCCTGGCCCAGCATCCTGAGGAACGTGCGGAGGAACAGCTAATTTTATCCAGCTGGTCTAGCAGCCATTCTGGGAGGGTGCTGGTGGTTCCCCACTAGCACTGATGGTGGGGAGAAGGCACAGAAAGGCAGGACACAAACCAAGGAGAAGACTTTTGGCAAAACCTCTGGCTAAACACACTGGGGAAGGTGGGTAGCGACTCAAGGTGCTGTATTGAATTTTCAGGCAATCCCAAGGAGGGGAGAGAGAATGATGCATTGGACTCCATCTTATGAAAAGGCTCATTAATTACTTTATTATATTATTCTATACATCTAAAACTGAATCTGCCAAGCACTCAAACCTGCACACAACTGCCCAGAATCACAAGAGTGTCACCCAACAATCCTGACACACTTGGCCCTGACAGGGCAAGGAAACAAAACTCCATCACTTTGGGTGAACAATCTCCATATTGCATTCTACTTCTGCACAACACAATCACAGCAAATGACATAAGAAAATTCTTGGGAAGAATTGTGCCTTGCTTTTCTCTGTGAAGAGAAATGTGGGGCTACAGTGCTGGAAAGAGAAAGCCCAGAGCAAAGGGGGTGCCAGTGACAGCAGACCACAGAGAGATCCCACCCTCTGTCCCCTCATCAAACACCTGTCACCCTGGTGTTTTAAGATTTTCTAAGCCTTCTGATGTTTACATTCTTGTAATGAACTGTCTCACACGCTTTCTGTAAACTACTTATAGTTTTGCATTCTTTTATAGAGGAGGAGAAATTTGATGGACTGCTGGTTTGCCCAGTGCCATTGGAGAGGTGGCACTTTCACCCTCCAATCCACTGTCAGTTTTGGAAATCTATAAATGTTAGAGTCAGAAAATAAACTTCCCTTTTTTACCTTGAGAACACCAGCGTGTGCCTTGTGTTATTTCGTGTCCTATAGTGACAAACACCCATCTCCACCTCTCCAAAGATGAAAAGATGGGGCTGGAATGAGTCAGCAGCCCGGCTCAAGCTGAGCAGAGTGTTCAGGAGCAGATGAGGATGTTCCCAGAGTCTGAACAGCCAGTTCTGTGACCTCCAGTGCCTGCTGAAATCCAGCACACAGAGCAGGAGCAGAGTCCAAAGCCAAGCCCTCGCTTGGCCGTGTTTGTGTGCTCCAGTCAACAGCAACACCTCCCTGGCAGCTTCCCCTACACCATGGAGCAACAGGCAGGTTAAAAATTAACTGCTGAGCTGAGCTGCTGCCCCACTGCACCCACAGGGACAGGCTCTGCTTGGCAAATGTGAAAAATGCCTATTTTATGATTGGCTTTTCGCAAATATTCAAATTAATATTATATGTGTTGTGTTAGAAAGTGATGCTGTGTTAATTCCCTTAAGTACTGTGTTAAATATAGTTTTAGGTTATAAATGTTAAGATAGAAACGATGCTATGTAGGATACTTTTTTTAAAGAAAGGAGTTGCAGTGAGATAGCAGCCACAGGACACCCGAATCTTTCAGAGTAAAGGAATTTATTGCCCTCTTATCAGAAGAAACGAACTTCTTCCAACCTCGAAGGCACTGTCAAGATTCAGAGGGAGAAGCTGACACTGACCAGACAGAATCCTGTGTTTGAATGAAATTTAT